GGCAAGGGTGGTGGTGGTGGCGCTGGGGGGGGAGGAGGTGGGGGAGGTGGGGGGGGAGGCGGTGCTGGAGGGAGCGGTGGCGGGAGCGCTGGTGGGAGTGGGGTCGGCGGTGGAGGCGGGGGCGGCGGAGGAAGCAGTGGCAGTAGTGGCGGCGGCGGCGGTGGCGGCGGTGGCGGTGGTGGCGGTGATGGCGGTGGCGGTCGGAGCGGTGGTAGTGGTGGCGGCGGAGGTCGGAGTGGAGGCACTGGCTCGGGCCAGAGCTCCCAGCATCAGCAGCGTCCCCAGACGACCCAGCAGCTTCGTGAGTGGCTTGCTCAGCGTGGGACGTCGGGGGGCAGTGGCCGCTGTTCCTATGTCATTTGCACAGGTGACCGCAAGGGACAGACGTGTGGGAGGTTCCACACCCCGTACCGCTGCTTCTCCCGCCTTGACGACGCTTGGCGTGAGGAGATGGGCGAGGATGTTGAGCGCCCCCGCTGGGCTGAGCTCATGAGGGCTGGTGTTGATATCTTTGCTCTTGACTATGATGCTATTATTGCTGCCATGTATGCATTGACTGTTAGTGCCGAGGGAGACTGTTACTTGTGTGTGCCGCCTGACCCAGGTATAGAGCCCGCTGTCCTGGGTACTAGTGAGTCTGCTCTCTCTGGTATGGTGCCCCCTGTACTTGCTCCCTCCAGTGCTGTCCCGGCTGTTTGCGAGTCTGATCTCTCAGGTACAGCACCCACAGAGACTGCTCTCTCAGGTACCGCACCGGCTGAGGCCTGTCACACTTTCACCCTTGACTCAGGTGCTTCCCGTTGTTTCTTTCGTGACAGTACTGAGCTCACACCGCTTCCTGCACCGGTCCCAGTCTCCTTGGCTGACCCCTCTGGGGGCCCAGTCCTTGCCCAGTCCACCACTGTGCTCCCTTGTCCGGCGGTTCCGTCTGGCTCGTTGTCGGGTTTCCACCTCCCCTCGTTCTCGACGAACCTGGTGAGCAACGCTGTCATCCAGGATCAGTGGGTTGACACCTTTACCCCTGGAGGACAGCGTGTGGCGATCTGCACGTGCTCCAGGACCGGCCGTCACCTGGCTACGTTTACCCGTCGGCCGGGGTCGAGTCTCTACACACTGACCACTGCGTCTCCTCAGGTCGCTGCTGTCGGTCAGGTGTCCGCGTCAGGTCTGGTGGCCCACGCCTGTGAGTGTCGTTCCCTGTCGCACCGGACTCTTCTCTGGCACCACCGCCTGGGTCACCCCTCCTTGCCACGCCTCCGTGGCATGCACCGTCACCGCCTTGTGTCTGGTCTTCCCAGGTCCCTCCCTCCCCTTCCTGCATCGCCTGCGCCGCCTTGCCTTCCTTGCGTCGAGGGGCGGCAGCGCGCCGCTCCTCACTCCTCCTCGTTCCCCCCGACAGAGGCTCCTCTGCAGACCCTCCACCTGGACGTGTGGGGCCCAGCCCGCGTTCGTGGCCAGGGCGGTGAGCGGTACTTTTGCTGGTTGTCGACGACTACTCGCGTTACACCACGGTCTTCCCCTTGCGCACCAAGGGTGAGGTCCCTGCTGTTCTGATCCCTTGGATCCGCACAGTTCGTCTCCAGCTCCGCCGCCGTTTCCGTAGTCACAGTTACCGCCTACCTCGCCTCTCCCTGCTCCCTCTCCTTACACTGGTCCCACAGGAGGTCTTACAGAGCGTCGTGAGCCTGAGTCTCGTCCTGCGTCGCCTGTTCGTACTGCTCGCACTGGTAGTCGTGTCCGTCGTGCTCGTCCTCCTCCTGTCCCAGGCACTCACTCCATGACTCTGCGTCCATCTACTGCTCCTCAGCGTGTCCCTCTACCGTCTCCTCCTGAGTCCTCTTTGCCTGCCGTTCCGGACCCTGAGTCTGACCGGTATCGCGCTGAGCACCCTACTGTCACACGTCTCCTAGCTACTGTTGTCACTGACCCTACCTTTGAGTCCTCGGCTGCGTCTGCTCTGGTCGCTGAGTTGGTTGACTTTGCTGCTGCCTGTCGTCTAGACTACGCTGCTAGCCTTGTTGCTGAGTCTGAGTCTGCGTCTGTCTGTCCTCCGTCCGTCGGGGGTGAGTGTGCTCTTGGCACGGACGTCCTTGAGGACAGGCAGGAGGACTTTGACTCTCTCGCGGCTGCTGTACCTCATCTCGTGGCCTGGTTGCTTGCCCCTGAGGGAGACCCGGATGCACTAGACATCCCCACTCCGCGCACTTACGCAGAGGCGATCTCGGGTCCCTACTCCTCTCAGTGGCAGACAGCCATGGACGCAGAGATGGCATCCTGGAAGTCCACAGGCACCTACGTCGACGAGGTTCCCCCTCCTGGGGCGAACATCGTCGATGGCATGTGGATTTTCAGGGTGAAGCGGCCGCCAGGTTCTCCGCCTGTCTTCAAGGCTCGTTACGTTGCTAGAGGCTTCAGTCAGCGTCAGGGGGTCGACTTCTTCCAGACCTTCTCCCCCACCCCGAAGATGACCACTCTTCGGGTTCTGCTGCACGTTGCTGCTCAGCGTGACTACGAGCTTCACTCTCTTGACTTCAGCACAGCGTTCCTGCAGGGCAGCCTGCACGAGGAGATCTGGCTGCGCCGCCCACCTGGTTTTACTGGGTCGTTTCCTCCTGGTACCCAGTGGAGCCTCCGCCGGCCAGTCTACGGTCTCCGCCAGGCGCCACGTGAGTGGCACGACACACTGAGGACTACACTTGCGGCTCTTGGGTTCGCGCCGTCTACTGCTGACCCGTCGCTGTTTCTGCGCACAGACACGTCGCTGCCGCCGTTCTACATTCTCGTGTACGTCGACGACTTGGTCTTTGCTACTGCTGATACTGAGGCACTCGCTCGTGTGAAGTCGGAGCTGCAGAAGAGACACACCTGCACTGACCTGGGTGAACTGCGTAGCTACCTTGGCTTGCAGATCACCCGGGACAGAGCTCGCCGCACCATCACCCTGACTCAGTCACACATGGTGCAGCAGGTCCTTCAGCGCTTCGGCTTCCAGTTCTCCTCACCACAGGCCACACCTCTGGCTACCAGCCACTCGCTCTCAGCTCCACCTTCGGACGAGTCCGTAGAGCCGAGTGGCCCGTACCCAGAGCTTGTAGGCTGCCTCATGTACCTGATGACTTGCACGCGACCTGACCTCGCGTACCCTCTTAGCATCCTTGCTCGTTACGTTGCACCTGGGAGACACAGGCGAGAGCACTGGGAGGCTGCTAAGAGGGTGCTGCGTTACTTGTGCAGTACATCAGGCATGGGGCTGGTGCTTGGAGGACGCGACAGAGTTGTCCTCACTGGTCACTCGGACGCTTCTTGGGTGGACGACCTGGCTACGCAGCGGTCGTCACAGGGTTACACCTTCAGCCTTGGCTCTGGTTCTGTCTCGTGGCGGTCCACCCGCTCTTCCTCTGTTCTCGGCTCTAGTTGTGAGGCTGAGATCTACGCCACAGCCATGGCTGCACAGGAGTTACGCTGGCTCACCTACCTGCTGACTGACTTGGGAGAGCGGCCTAGTTCTCCTCCAGTTCTGTACGGTGACAACAAGGCGGCTCTTGCCTTGTGTCAGGAGCACAGACTGGAGCACAGGACGAAGCACATTGCTCTTCGCTACTTTCTTGCTCGAGAGCTTCAGCAGCGCGGTCAGCTTCGGCTTGTGTACGTGGACTCGAAGGCCAACACTGCTGATATCTTCACCAAGGCGCTCCCGCCTAGTGATCATCAGCGGCACTGTACTTCTTTAGGCCTTGTGTCCACGTTTCCTCACTTGCTCACTGCTTGACATTCTTTGTACTGTACTTTATATATATCTTGTTGCTTGCTTGCTAGGTTTTGATCACTGTGTTGCTTGTCTTGCACTATATCTAGCACTGCATGTGAACTGGCCTTGTGGCCTTTGCTTGTGCTCGGAGTGTGGTGACGTTGTGATCCACCCTGGGCTTGCGTTGCTTTGCTGGACTGGTCTTGTGACCCTTTGTTCTCCCCCACTTTGCCTATGGGGGTGTGTTAAATTGTAATGTGTTATATGTTGGTAGGCTGTAGTGGGGTAGCCAATATGGGGTACAACCCCAACTAGGGTTTGCTACTTGTACCCAACTGTTTTCATTCAATGCATCATTCTGCCTAGTTCTTTTCACAAGAACCGCGGCTTGCGTGGCTCAGAAATGTCGCGATTGGTGATGGGCGACTCGGCATTGGTTCGGTGCGAAAGTGTAGGCCGAGCCACACTGACGCGAAGTGCTCAGGGCTGTCTCTACAATTTTGAATTGTACATTCATTATAGCTGAGGTTCGGAAATAAGGGTTGAAAGCAATGATTATTTAGGAACACATTTCTAAAACATGTCAAGAATATGATTCAAAGGCCTCTTTATACAATAAACGGCTAGCTTCTTAGACAAGGACAACCTGGTCAGGCGGAAACTTTGGTTGGCGAGGTTTGGGGAAAGGCGGAATCAAACAGTTCGGAAGCGACACGAGTCAGCTTCAGGCTCGGCAACTCTGCCGAACCTGATCCCCGACGTGCTCGGAGCTTCGTACAACACCTGTTTGGCGTAGAATCCGGTAACCCTCACCTCGACTCAACTAAAACCGAACGCACAGACCTCTTTCGGCTCCGAGCCTTGCGTGCCAGACCTACACCCTTTGTTTTCGGCACAGGCAAAGCTGGAGTAGCAGTGCCAGACCTGACGTCCCCGAAACTAACGTGACTGTTGTTGGGGTTGTGAGAGTATTCCGAGTTTCGCACATTGCCGTAACAAAGTTGGCAGGACCGAACAAAAAGCAACCTGGCTGCTCAAGCAGGAATAGGCTCTGTTGTGCGTTGCTGAACTCTTTTTTTTTGCGCCTAAGAAAAAGACGCTATGCTTCACTGTCGGTCCTACCAGGTTTAGGACGCGTCACATATGAAAAATCGATCCTGCAAGGGATCGATGTGTGGGTGTTCGCTAGAACTCGAGACACGTCACCGAGCGCGATGTCTCTTCCAGATCTCGATCTATCACGTAATGCGTAATGCGTTTACAGCTGTCAATGACGATTCTAACCCCGCTAAATCTCGAGCTTGAAGACGATCGCGACACATGTGGCTCAGAGGTGATCGATGCCCACAGCTTCGGTGCGTGATCCCGATCCTCCTTAGGTGTGCCGAATGTGACGCGTCGTTAGTCGTCGTAATGGGTGCTTTGAGCAATCGGCTCGGCGCGCTTATGCTCTTCCTGCCGACGTGTTTCACCGTAGTCTGACGTGTTTTGACGCGTTTTGCAATACCCCTCCCAATGTCCATGTAGTGCTTTCCACGCCACGCTGTGATTTCGCCATGTCAAGCCGTCATTTTGCCACGTCGCGCTGCCATGTTGGCATGTCAAGCCCCCATTTTGCCATGTCAAACTGTCATCTCTCCGCGTCGCGCTGCGATATCTTCATGACACGCACCCATTTCGCATGTCACTCTGCCATCGCACCATGCACCGCCGCCATCTCGCTTGTCACGCCGCCATTTCATCATGTCACGTCGACATTTCGCCATGTCGCGCTGCCATGTCGCTATGTCAAGCCCTCGCCGTGTCACGAAGCCATTTCGCACGTCATGCCACCACTCCGCCATGTCACGCCTTCGGTTCGCCTCGTGGCGCCACCTTTCCCCACGTCGCGCGGCCACTTCGCCATGTCTCGCCGCCATTCATCGTCTAGAGATTGGCGAACGGCAGTTTGCCCCAAATATGAACGCAATCCTGCCCGTTAAGGAGTCGCTCCAAGCGTATCTCATCCATTTCCCTTGAGCTATTTTCGTTCCTCAAGGGAGCCCGCTGCCATCACACTAGCGTGCATCTGCAGTCCGCCACTGTCCGCTGTGCGTTGGCGAATGGCACTCTGCAATCCTGCTTCTTAAGGAGTCGCGCCCAGTGTAAACCATCCCTTTCCCTTCAGCTCTTCCCTTCAGCTCTTCCCGTTCCACCCGCCGCCATTCCACTAGCGTGCATCTGCATCCGCTGTGTGTTGGGGTGTGGCCGAGTCATGGCCTGGTAGTCCGGCGTTGTAGACTTTTATGCTCTGCTCGGATCTGGTCTGCTCTGGTCTGCTCTAGTAATTGTGTCCGCTCTGGTGTGATGTTTGCTTGCCGACAGGTGAGAGGAGTGAGGAGGGAGGTGAGAGATTTGGCAGCAGCGTGGAAGTTGTAACGCGGCGATTGCCAGGCTGGAAAGGAGGGAACCTATTGCGTTGCTGCGCTATTGCTCAGGAGTCTCACAACCATCCCCCTCTGCCTTTCGTTCCTGTGCTGCAGGTGTGCCACGCCAACAGGCGTGGGGGAGGACGTTCGAGGGGTGGAAGGCGGGAGCAATATCTGTGCGCCGTATGGGCCGCCGCCACATCGCAGAACATCACGTGTGACACACACGGCATGGTTGATGCCATGTATTCTTAGCATGGGGTGTGGGAGAAGAGTGAAGCAGAGTGCAAGTGAGTGAAGCAGAGGGCAAGTGAGTGAAGCAGAGGGCAAGTGAGCGAAGCAGAGGGCAAGTGAGAGAAGCACAGGGCACGCGAGTGAGTGGCCTTATTCCGAAGTTTCTTGCGTATCTTACCTACTTGATGAAAGGAGTGTGGCACGCCTCATCCTTGAGATTTATCAAAAGTGACCCCTGACTCTCCTGGTGTGAATAGAGGATTGTAGCATGAGAGTGTAGCACGTGGGAGCGCAAGGCTGGTAGCCAGACTGCTTGCTCCTGTCGATGCCTCCGTAGTAGCCCATGGAATAAGCGACATCATTGCTTGTAATCAAGCTTCTAGAATCAGAAAAAAAGGTGACCTACGCGACAAGGAAGATGAGGTTGCTTGCCATGTCATGTCGTGCCATGCCATGTTGTGCCATGCCATGTCGTGTCATGACATGCCATGTCATGCCATGCCATGCCATGCCGTGCCATGCCGTGCCGTGTCATGCCATGCCATGCCATGCTGTGCCATGCCATTCCGTGCCATGCCATGTCTTGCCATGCCATTCCGTGCCATGGCATGTCGTGCCATGCCATGGTACCCTGTTACTTACCTCCCTTATTACGTCTGCCATGTGTCCCCCTTCTCCCTCCCGCCCTTTCGTGTGTGGTGTATGCTCTCATCTCCACCTCCTCCTTCTTCAGTTCTCCCACTCTCCGCCCCTCCTCCTCCTCCTTCTCCTCCTCCTCCTCCTCCTCCTCCTCTGTAACGGTCCTGGTAGTAAAAAGGACATTTACCCACTTAATAATAGGTTCTAATACAACCAGAGAGTAGCAGCTCCTGAAAAACTACTAAGTCTAAAAAGTGGTAGGAGATGCAGTCACAAACTGTGGAGGGAGAGTTGAGAAGAGAGAAATCCCATTTCCCAATTGATTAGTTGGGAGTAGGAAAAATGGAGAGAATGAACCAGAACGGCTCAGACCCCTTCCCTAGACCCCCTTGGGGTGTAGCCACCTTCCCCATGGCAAGGAAGGGTGCACCACCATGGGTCTTTACCCATGTGGCAATTGTTGGGATTTCCAACCAATTAGACAATAGACAGCAAGGACAACAATGCACACTTATCACAAACCTGAGTTGTTGCATTGGTTGCAATTACAAGGAAGAGTCGAGTTGGATTTAAGTTGGCTGTTTCTGATTGGTTCGATTTCCAACCAGCGGCGGAAGTCCCGTCGACTCACTTTGTGTGAGTATGATGTGATTGGTTGGACAAGTGTGATGTTTGAACTTACGTGGGTTGTTTTCAAACCTATCGCGTAAGTTCTGTCACGATTTGGATAGCAGAGTTCTAATTGGCTAGTTTCCAATCAAGTCAATTCCAAGTTTCTTGCTTCCAATCAAACTCCAACCAATCCTGTTTCTCCCCTTATTTCCCCCTCACAGCTGGTTCGACGTATCGAGACCAGGTGGGGGTTGGGTCCGAATGTTACACTCCTCCCCCTTCAGCTTGCAACGTCCCCGTTGCCGTGGGGTGCTTCTTAGGACGAGTGCTACGAGCACGACGAACCACATTACGACCAGGGTCAACACCATCCGCTGTTTGTGGGAGTGCTCGCTGAGCCAGGTCTTCCATGTACGACTGAACCGCAGTATCAGTCAAATGTTCTTCCGGCTCCCAAGAGTTGTGTTCAGGCCCATAGTCTTTCCACTTAATGAGGAACTCTCGTACATTTTTGCAGCCGCGTTGTCGATCACGATGCAAAAGCACTCGTTCGACTTCATAGTACAGTTCCTCCCCTAGGACGATTGTTGGCGGTGGCAAGTACTGTCAAACTATATGTACTGCATATTGTCTAGGCTGTAGTGGGGTAGCCCACATGGCGTACAACCCAATTAGGGTTTACTACTTGTACTCCTGCATCCTGTTAGTCCATCCATTCCTGCTGCTAGATTCTAACATGGTATCAGAGCGAGCAGACACAGCAGCACCTGAAGCCACGGCCTCACCAGTACCTAGAGCAGTAGACGTACTAGCACCGAGAGCAGCAGCCTCACCAGCACCTAGAGCAGGAGACGCACTAGCACCTAGGGCAGCAGCCTCACCAGGGTCAGGCGGTACGCACAGGCAACAGGCACGGTCAACACTAGTAGACAATGCATACATGGCAGTGAGAATAGCATCATAGTTAAGCGCAAAGATATCTACCCTTTGTCTATGCAGCTCCAGCCAGGTGGGGAGCTCAGCCTCGTCGCCAAACACTGTGCGCCAGTCGTCGCTCAGACGGGCGAAGCAGCGGGACTGTGTGTGACCAAGCGTCCCACAAGGCTGACCAGTCCTAGCACCTGTGCGAATGACGTACGGGCAGCGGACTGTACGCGTAGACCTGCTACACTGAGCGTACCACTCCTGGAGCTGCCGGGGCGTAAGTGTCTCACGTGGACGTCCCTGCAGCTGCAGCTGGCCACTGCCAGACGCTCCCAACTGACCAGCTCCAGGGCGACAGCTACGACGGCTACCGCGACAACCCCAGCTAGTATACCACTCACTAAGCTGCTGGGGCGTCAGAGGCTCGCGTGAATGTCGCTGGAGCTGCATCTGGCCACCTGCCAGTAGCAGTAGCGCAGGCAAGGCAGGCGCGGCAGGCAGGCAAGCAAGCAGGCAGGCAGGCAGGCAGGCAGGCCGGCAGGCAGGCAGGCAGCCAGGCAGGCAGGCAGGCAGGCAGACAGGCAGGCAGGTAGGCAGGCAGGCAGGCAGGCAAGTAGACACGCAGGCCGGCAGGCAGGCAGGCCGGCAGGGGGGTTATGGGCGCACTCACCCGCTATATAAACAAGCCCTTTTATCCCAGTGGTTAGTGACTGGGATTCTGACAAGTACTTGCTTTCCGCAACGTACTTGCTTAACAGAGACACATGGAAGACATTGTGAATCTGCTGGGTATTAGGTAGCTTGAGCTTATAAGCTACCGCACCAACTCGTTGAATCACCTCGAAGGGCCCAATCCAACGAGGGAACAACTTTCTCGCACCAGGGATTTTAAGCCGAATATTCTTCGTGCTTAATAAAACTTTGTCTCCAATAGAGAATGATACTTCCCGGCGTTTCATGTTGCCATAGGATTTTTGCCTTTGTTGGGCTAATTGCAGCCAACGACGTGCCGACTTTAGGGCCTCTCGTTGCTTGCCCACAAAATCCTTTACGGCAAGTAATTTCAAACCGCCGATCCCATGCGTAGCATGTGTTGTGGGATGCCGACCATAGTTCAGGATAAATGGTTTTTCATGTGTGCTATCATGCACTGAGTTGTTAACCGCAAACTCGACCATGGGTAACAACTCGTCCCAATTGTCCTGAGTTGGGCTTATGAAAGAACGAAGCATCTGCTCGAGAGTGTGGTTTGTCCGTTCCGTTTGCCCATCTGTCTGGGGATGGAACGCTGACGACATCTTAAGCTTCGTTCCTAGTGTCTCGGTTACTTCACGTCAGAATCGGCTCATGAAGCGCGGGTCGCGGTCAAACACTAATACACGTGGCAATCCGTGTAGGCAGAACACATGTGTCACGAACAACCGAGCCGTATCCTCTGCTGATACGTCCGTTGTCGTGGGTACAAAGTGCACCATTTTTGTAAGGCGATCTACAAACGCGAGTATCGCCGTATACCCGTCGCGGGTTTTTGGGAGGTCGGTGATGAAATCCAGTGAAGCAAATCACAAGGCTTTTGTGTGTCCGGTTTGTTACGTGCGCACGTGTCGCAACGTGCCACAAATTGTTGGACATCACTACCGACTCCTGGCCACTAGTATACATCGCGTAAGGCCCACCGGGTCTTATTCATGCCCAAGTGTCCCCCATATTTAGTGGCGCTCACCTCTTCCAAGATATCATTCTGCAGATTGCCTACATGAGGTACGGCAGTCTCTTTTGTTCGCCACCAAAGATCGTGTTCCCAAGTCAAATGCTTAGTGTTTTGTGGATTTTGAAACCAGGAATCGATATGATATCCTCTACGAATTCGTTTCAGAAAACCACTGAACGCGATCTCGCTCACTTTCGCCGCAGCTAGTATACTAAAACAGGCAGCAAAAATAGCCGCATATTCAGTATCGCCAAGCCTGGTTGCCGCCCCTATCGGCTGTCTGCTGAGGGGGTCGGCCAGGTTCGTGGAACCTGCACGATAGCGAATATCGAAGTTGAACCCACTAAGGAGTTCAGCCCAACGGGCCTGCCGGCGAGTGAGGGTAGCTTGGGTAGAGAAATATGTATTCGGACAATGGTCAGTAGTGACCACGAACTCTACCCCTTCCAAATAACATCGCTGTGTTCTTAGCGCATGGACGACAGCCAACAACTCTTGTTCGGTAGTTGTGTAGCGTTGCTCTGCCGGGGAGAGTTTTCTACTCTCGAATGCCACAGGGCATCCTTCTTGTAGGAGTACTACTCCAAGTCCCACCGTTGAGGCGTCTGTAACTACCTCATATGGTTTCTGTGGGTTTGGCAACACCAAAACTGGTGCATTAGTTAATTTATATTTGACATCTTCAAAGGTCTTTTGGCACTGTGGAGTCCACTCCCATGCACACCCTTTCCGGGTTAATGCCGTGAGGGGAGGAACGATCGTGGAATAATTTTCCAAGAAGTGACAAAAGTAATTCGCCAGGCCCACAAATGATCGGACTTGACCAACGTCGCGTGGGACGGGCCACTCCTGGACAGCTGCTACCTTCTTGGAATCCACTTTCAACCCGTTATGCCCCACCACGTGCCCCAAGTACTCCTGCTCACGTTTGTAAAAGTGACATTTCCACAAACGCGCGTAGTACTTATGCTCGCGTAATTTTCCGAGGACCCATTTCAAATGTTCCGTATGCTCGTCTTCGGTTTTCGAGTATACCAGGATATCATAGAGGTACACCAAGACGAACTGGCCAATCGCATCACGAAACACATCGTTCATCGC